TGAACGTCTCTGTTCTTTTTTTTTTTGGAATGAAAAGAGAGATGTATTACTACCCAAAAACAAGGCTTACATCAAGGTCCTAGAATATCTCTACTGTTCCTTTCATCATCCACCTCCCCTCTAAGGAGGTGGATAATTAAAGGTACAAAAAGTATAAATTAAATTATGAGCTAGTTTTGCTAGTCTGTCAGCATCTCTATTTAAATCTCTGTACATTAAAGTTAAAATCACAATCCCTAGCGATGAGCAATCTGATAGTCCCTCTAGTGTTAAATGTAAGAGCTAGTTAACTAATTCATATTAATTAAGAAAACTAGGTAAGTTAGTTATTTATAAAAATGTGTGCTAGTTTTCCTAAAATATCCCTTCTTTTAATCATTTATATTGAAGTATTATCAATATAGCTCATACATCATATTAGTTAGTTATTTATAAAAATGCATGCTAGTTTTCCTAAAATGTCCCTTTTTTTAATCATTTATATTGAAGTATTATCAATATAGCTCATACGTCATATTTTTCTCCAACTATAAGGGTAGTTGGGAAAAATAATAAATATGAGAGACCAAGGATATTGAGATCTTATATTTAGAACCAAAGCAAACTCCCAGCTTGCTCTTACATTTAGTACCAAATGGAGTATCTTCTATGAAATTCTAGCATGGGGGCCTTCAATAGCATCTCTTGTCATTAGATTAATAGGTTGGATACAGTCTGAGAATCTCTCGCAATTCTGTAATAGCTGGTGGTGCGTCCTCTATCCATTCACCCTTGTGATTCTGAATCACACCACCCCCCCCCCCGGGGGCACTAAAGCCATTTCACAGAACCACCGAACATCTCATTTTTAGTGCAATATTGCAATGAAGATGAGCCCTTAGTCTGGTATTTTATGCGTATAAAAATAAAGACATAGCGGTTCATGATATTGTGTCAAAAGTTCGTAATTATAGGTGTTGAAGTGGTATTGATCTTGGTCTATTGCAGTCTTGAATTTTCAGTCTTCACAGTTTTTAAGCACAACTTTGCAAAAATATATACACAGCAAAACTTTAGATTGCTTGAGACTTGGTTCTTGGGTGAAAATATTTAAAATCAATTGCTTTATCCGTTGCTTACCTCACTTTCTACTCACCTGCTTGTAATTTTGTTGTGAAGCCTATCAAACTAGAGTTTGAGAAGGTTTACTATCCATATCTTCTAATTAGCAAGAAGAGATACGCTGGTTTATTTTGGACAAAACCGGACAAATTTGATAAGATGGACACTAAAGGTAAATATTGAACTTTATTAGGACGCTCCTGTCACTTTTTCAGATGCCTTCTTACTCTTACCATACTTTTACCCAATTAACAGGGATTGAGACAGTTCGAAGAGATAATTGTTTATTGGTAAAGAACCTGGTCAATGACTGCCTTCACAAAATTCTGATTGACAGGGACATCCCTGGGGCAGTCCAGCATGTAAAGAATGCAATTTCAGATCTACTTATGAATCGTATGGATTTGTCACTTCTGGTCATTACAAAGGTGGGGTGTCTTTTGGGTGATTGCTAAATGGTGTTGAACGTGCCTTTCCATATGGGTTTTTTCATTCGCGAAAAGTTCAAATATGCCATTTGAGTGTCATACAAGTATAATCATAAATGTCTTGAACTTGCAACATGGGGTTTGTCTTACAGGGTTTGACCAAGACAGGAGATGATTATGAAGTGAAAGCAGCTCACGTTGAACTTGCTGAAAGGATGCGCAAGGTTAGCTGTGATAATTGAATGCACTGTTTGTTGCATTTCTTTTCTTTTTGTTTGCCCCCTTAAAGTCGAAGCATTCTAGTCTTGTAATTTGATGAAAAAAATGTGATAGCATGAGTCATATGCACTATGTGTCATAAATGAAAGCAAATCATGATCAATTATTTATTCTATATGGTTGCCGTTGTATGTTCTCATTTCTCAGATCTTACTGGATATTTTTCAAATACTGGATAAACTTATTTTGAGGCATGCTTTCTTTATTAAGGCAAAAATATTGATATCAATCATTTAGGCATGTTGAGATTGTGATGGTTTTGTTTTCTGGGCTATAAATGTTTCTGCTTGATTTTAATTTTTGACAGCGAGATGCTGCCACTGCTCCAAATGTTGGTGATAGAGTACCTTATGTCATAATTAAAGCTGCAAAAGGTGCCAAGGTAATATATTATTCCCCCCTCTCCTCCTTTCTCTATCTCGCATTTTCCTATGTTTATGAAGCTGTACTTTAACTACTAATATAAGAACTTCAGGCTTATGAAAGGTCAGAGGATCCAATCTATGTGCTAGAGAACAACATACCAATAGACCCTCAGTACTATCTTGAGAATCAAATTAGCAAGGTTGGTTCTGCTATTTCAGAGTTCCTCTGAATTTATTTTCATGTTCCTGAGCAAATTGTTCGTGTTGCAGCCAATTCTAAGGATTTTTGAGCCGATTTTGAAGAATGCTAGCAAGGAACTTCTCCATGGAAGCCACACAAGATCTATTTCTATTTCTACGCCGTCAAACAGTGGCATAATGAAATTTGCTAAGAAACAGCTTACTTGCATCGGTTGCAAAGCTTTACTTAGGTATCTTTTTGTGTTTTAAAAATGTCAGCTTGTCGCATTTTACTTCTTTTTTCCCCTTTTTGATTTTTCAAATATTGCTGATTTTTGTGTGTAACTGCTAAGAATTACATTTTGCATGCTCATGATATTCATTTATTTTTTCCCTCGGGGGCTGCATGTCTGAAGGGTTCCAATGAATTTGTATGTCACATTTTACAGCACTATTTTTTGGACTAGCTATGAAATCTAAATATTACTTTGGTATGCTGGGTTAGCAATGGGGATCGCACCCTCTGCTCGCATTGCAAGGGAAGGGAAGCTGAGCTGTACTGCAAAACAGTTGCTCAGGGTAGGTGCCAATTTCAAATCCCTTGTGTCCAATTTCAAAGCGTTTTGTAGCTCTGCATGGTTCAAGCTGAATGTTATTGGACAAATTGAATGGTGTGGCTGCAGTTTCTGACCTAGAGACGCTTTTTGGGAAGCTTTGGACACAGTGTCAAGAATGCCAAGGTTCCCTTCATCAGGATGTTCTCTGCACGAGGTAACGGTTTATGCATCTGTTAGTTTAAATCCCCTTCACGGATAAGCTTGGTTGGCATGGGTTGACATAGTTGCAAATGTTTGGTTTTAGAGGAATCAGATTCGACTTTGAGAAGCATTCGCATACTCGAGATTTGATATTAGTTACTTTTCCCCATTCCCTTGGTGGTTCTTTCCACTTTGTCGCAACAGTCATTAAATTTTGTGGTTCCTTGGTTACTTCGAACTCATTTGACATTTCTTTCCTTCTGTAACATAGATTCTATAATAAAATCTGCGGCATTTCCTCATTACCCCAATAACTAATACTGTGATGTTATTTTCAGTCGAGATTGCCCAATTTTTTATAGAAGGAAAAAGGCACAGAAAGATATGGCCGAAGCGAAGTTGCAATTGGACCGGTGGAGCTTCTAGGATTCTATCCAGGTCTGAATTTACTATTATTATTGTTACATTGAATTTATGGTGCATATTCATTTGGGAGAATCCTTTTTATAAAAAAAACTTGAAATTACTAAATCTCAAATAAAAAATTGCAACAAAAACTTGTTATTTATAAGTTCAGTATCTCCCTACATTATCTGCATGTAGACATTGTTGTCCTTATGGTCTAGTCACCGGGTCTTCATTGACATGTCATTTATGATCTAAAATTCATATAATTATCTTAGTTTGATTAGAGAATGTAATAATATGGAAAAAAATTGTAAATAAATTGATGTTTTAAAGTACGACGCAACTTTTATGTTTTTTGAGATTAGATCGCATGAACGCACGTGTACCCTTATCTGCTTTAAAGCCGCTGATCCTCTTGCCAAAATTAATCACCAGCTGTTCAGGGTTTGATTTTGTGGATCTTGCCACCTGACGGTTCTTGAGACTAGAGTGGAAGGGGAAAAATTCGCCCAATGCCATCGCAGGCCTGGTTAGGCTTCTAGCCCCTGCCCCCCAAAAACATTTTGGATCATCTCCCCTGACTCGTTGGGTTTAATGTGTATATAAATGTATTTTTTTTTTTGGTAAAACATATATAAATGTATGTGGACAATTAATTGTACATTTATTTTCGTCGACATTATTTTACTTTTAAGGTTTAGATGGATATATTTGGATTTAGATTTTAGGTTTAAATTTTCATATTTAAAATCTCGTTTAAAATTCTTGTTTTTAAAAACCTTTGGATAGTATAAAAAATTAGGGTTAATAAGATGTTAGGGCTTTATACTTTGCTCTTATTTTGATTTTGATTGCTATTAGACCTCTCTAAGCTATTAGCGTTTTAGATGGAAAGAAATTTAAAGAACTAAAGTTTGAAATTGAGGAGCTAAAATGAAAATAAAAAAATTATAAATACCAAACATTGTGTTAAACATAAAAAATTAACACTAAAGAGTGAGTTGTACTGCATGTGATGTTCTTGTTTGGGTAATACTTAAAAGATGGTTAATATTTGAACTAATTATCTAAAGCAATTATAATAAAAATTTGCTTGATCCAAATTCAAAAAATTTTGATTTAGATCTAAATTCAAATTCAAGTTCCCACTAATGCAAACACCAGTTTTTGTGAAATTTGAACATAGATTGTCTAATTTATGCCCGGACAAGTTTTATGGAAAAAATTATCTTTAGAAAACTGAGTATATGAAAAATTTTTAAAAATTCAAATTTACAAGTCAAATTTGCGCAATTTAATAATTTACGAGACATTTTTAAATTTACAAGTCAAATTGTATCATCTACAAGTCAAACTTACAACATTTATTTTAAAAAAATTTTAATTTTATTCCCAAGGCATGCAAGACTGGATTATTTAGGTGCGGATATTTAAAATAAATTCGATCTCCACTTTCTCATCTTGAACTAAACGTGAGAAAGTGAAAAAGGATGGATAAATCACATCTTATAAATGACGTAACTTGTTATCAATTTTATATTTTGCGCTGATAATATAATACAATTACGTATAAATTTTGAAGAGCACGAAGATTTTACCTCAATGTCGCTGTACGGCTGACTGAAGAAGTGCAATGTCACTAATACCAAATACTGTAACAGGAATAAAAATAATTAACCAATTCAAGTGTACAGCCTTAGGCGGGTGGTGATTTGCTCCCGACACATCGGACACGAGGACAAGGTCGCACCGCACTCCTTGCAAGTCTAGTTTTGGAAACAACGGGCATACATATTAGAGATGTTAACATGCAAACCAGAATCATTAAGAGACAATCATTTGTTTAACATGTGGCTTCAAAGTGGAATACATCTCATCTCCTCAGACCATAACTAGGCATAGTCTGTCGAGTATTTATTTTGAAGATTTTCAATCAAAATATTGCAGGTAAAAGGAAAAGGGGTCAATTAGTGTTACAGTTGTTTACCGATCGTTTCTATTTAAAAAGAACTTCATTAAAAAAAATTAAAATTACATTTAACTATCTAAGTAGAAATTTTTAGATGTTCATTCCAGGCAGATCACATGTTATGCGTTCGAGTTAATATGTTGCATGATCGTCTGACCAGGATTTAGGGATGATCATCTTGTTTATCATACTAGGAAATTTCACTAGGAGCAGAAAAAAGTTGAGTTCCCGCAAATTGGCCTAGCGCATTTAAACAAGAGTTAGAAGATTAAACAGACTCACCGTGTGACCACATCCAAATGCCAAGTCCTTCGGATTAGTTAGGCAGACAGGGCATACCTTGAACAGGAGAGGCGTTTATCAAGTCTCAATCATGTCATCTAAACAAGAACTAGAGCATGAGAAAGAAAAGCATGGAGGAAAAACATACTGATTCGACTGCAGGCGGAGCTGTGGGTTCAACTGATTCAAAGTTTGTCATGTTTGGAGCCGCCATTATTTCATTGTCATGATCTATCACTTCTTTGGGTGGAGGCCGGGGCTGTTTACGTCGATAACTTACAGATTGTTCACTGCAACACGAAAAATATGCTCAGTCGTCCTTAATTATACCTTTTTAGTTATTCATCAAAACTGTAATTATTGCCTTACTCGGCTGGTGGTAAATTTAGAGTAGCCCGGTACTGTATCGGAATTTCCATAAGAGCAGCAAGTGCAAATGCTGTTTCCTTCTTTGATGCCTCCTTGTTTTCAGACATGATCTTTGTGAAGTTCACAAACTGATGGATCAAAAGGAACAATTCGTTACTAACATTTCATTCATCACTTTATTTACTATTCCTCAAGTACTTCATGTAAGACCTGATTAACTAATTTAAGTAGATTAAGAATGTTGGTTAAATTAGTTAATATGATATGTTTTTTTCTAAAACATCCTAATCATCTTCCTTAATTTCCTCCCTTCCTCTCTTACTTGATTATTGTTGAGGAAATATCAATAGCGTTAATTTGAGAAAAAATTAATAAACATATGAAATAAGTCTAACTTATTAGACCAACATCAACTCTCAAACTAGGCCCGAAGAATATTAAATATGGTTTTCTAACTGGATGTGTTCTCTGAGGGAAACATCATGGAAGGATGAGGCATATCACCCCCTGAGCCTAGAAAGTACTTAATTAAGGAGAGGGCATGAGGTGGAAGCCTGAACACACTAAATTATAAGAATATTCTGAGTCTTCGGTGATGTTAAATAGGTGCTTGAGTTAAAAATGAATTAACGCAGAGTTACTTGATTCAATAAAGATGGACACGTCAAGCTTAATACAGAGTTTTTCTCACAATAACAGAGTCATGAGAAACACTTGTAATTTGCTAATGGTCATAGAACTATCAAGTACCTGGAAGTTGTCAAATAGGCGCTGGGTAATGTTATCATCAAAGTGCTGCATCTCATCCCATGGTCCGTCTCCAACTCCAACCAGAACAATTGAGAGAGGATAGTGACTGATAATCAGAAAAGCTCCACGTTAAAGAGAGCTAACATGAACAACATCAAATAAATAGCTACAAGGAAATTGCCTTACCTTGCAGCAACAATGGCATCAATAGTTGCCTGTTCTTGTGGACTGAGCTTTCGGTGTGATGCATCAGGACTTTTGGTAACCTATTAAGGACATTTCAGAAACAAGAGAATTAGGAAAAAGGACCATAAAAATTGTATCGTAAAGAAAGATGACTGGAACAGGTGAGTGAGTCAAAAAGAAAACCTGTCCATCAGCAATAATGACAAGCACGTGATATTGACCATTGCTTTTCTCCACGATGTCAACTGCTGCATCAATTACTGGGGCAAAAGATGTTGGACCTATGGATAAGGGAGAGGACTTTCATAATTAAGGTCTCATATCAGTGCCTTTATATATCTAGGGCCTCTACCTCTTAATGTCAATTTGACAAAGAATTCATCAAGAGAAACAATATACGTAATGCAGCCAGATAAGGCTCCGTCATAAATCAGATAATCAAAATCAATACAAAATATGAGAAGTATAATCTCAAACTCCGTGCAAATGCACAAGACTTGCTCCAGTAACGGGAAAAAAAGGAAGAAATACATGAGCTAGTCAGATCAATCGAGTCCCCATGCATATCAAACAAGGAAACTCCCTCAAAAAGAGCCATGAACTGCACCCTGCAAGGAGGATAACATAACAAGCCTATACCACCAAAGATGAGGAAGAAGAGATCTCTGGCTAAAGGTTATGGAATCAGTTCCGGCTAAATGTCTCAGTTAAGTAAAATAAGCATAATTCTGAAAGACCTTGCTCTTTTCTTTCACTCCTAAGAATCATATGGGCAGTGGTAACAAAGACTTCCAAATGAGGTAGATAGATTCAATCTTTCCAAACATCCAACTACCAGCCACGAAGCAACCTCTATATCCAAGAAGAAAGAGCTATTTGCTATGTGAATCTGATGAGATTAGGGGAAGGGAGTTGAGGCTTACAGAAAATTGCCAAATAAGGATTTAAGAGACGGGTGAAAAGTTAGGTATTACTAAAGATACTTACATGAGCTTTTCCAATTTCACGTTTAAACATACATGCAATATCAAGTTAGCATAGCTTCGCACAGGTTCTATTCTCTCAAATTTGGCCTTTGTTCCTAACTACAATCAGATATTGACAGACCTAGGTTCAGAGGATTTCCAGTTTTTGAACTCATAACTTGCTTTCAGGTAATATTGCAATTCTCTTTCCCTCCCTCAACAAGTATCCCCGCTTAATTAAATTGTATAAAAGCAGGAAGAAATGTATATTATAAAACAAACCTGACAACTTTAAGCATGGAACAATCTGCCTGTAGCGTGCAAGTGCTTCCTCAAAACCATCACAATAATGATCCCCAGGATAAAAGCTGAACACGTGCTGGTCATGTGTAGACGCTACAAAAGCAAATTAACTGAAATCAATGGAGGGGAAAATATCGCATCTTATTCCGCAAAATTAAAATTATGATCAGCTACTCACCATCACCAAATCCAAAACACGGTATGAGATTGTCTTCATCAAAAGAAGACAGAGTACGGCCAATGATAGAGATTGCTTGTTCATATGGATTGGGAGTGTTTCCAAGAGAATGAAGGCTTTTCCGGTTAAACGAGTACTTGCCTACAAATATCAAGGTGTGACTTCTCTGCATTCGTTGCAGGTAAATGGATGTACATTACTAAGCTCTTATTTAAAATGAATAACCTGTCCACTCATTGCTTTTGGTGAAGTCAATACCAAGTATCAAATTTGAAGACTCCAAACCAGCTTCTCTTAAAGCAGACACAACCTGAAATGAGTGTCATGTTCTTTAGTGGCAAGAAGGCTCAACAGAAATTATAATTAAAATGCTAAGTATATTCCCAAAAACATAAACTTATATAGTAGTGCACTGCCAGTAGTTTCTTTCATATCAAGCCGACCTAAGAGTGATACGATCAGTTATTTGACTGTATTTAAACCAAGATAAACTTCTCCATGTGGAGTCATCTCCTTTTATGATTCTCGAGTAAGTTAGAGTATCCTATTTAATACTAATAATTATAAATTTCAATGCCTATTACTAAGGCCATAATAATGTGTTCAACAAGCCCTGTAAGAATTTCCTAATGTACGATCAAGTCAAACTGGTTGATCCACAGATTTCTCATACATACATCATCAGAAGTTTCTAAGTAATACCAAATTGAAGACTGGTTATCTTCCTCACGTCAGTTAGCAAAAGTAATAGTAAAAACCTCATCTAATGAACTGAAATTATCAGCTATGTACGTGGGTTGCTTCTTATGTCGATAATTAGTGGTCGTTGAAATCCCAGTTTCCTCATAAGGAGTTTGTTGAAACTCGTAGCTAGTATTAACTGAACTCCCTGTCCCAGAAGAAGGAGTTCGTTGATACTCGTAGCCAGTATTCATTGAACTTCCAGGATATGACGGCGGCCCAGTGAAAAAATAATCCTGAGATTCTTCTTGTGACTCTGCATTACCCATAGCAAAAGCCTCGTTCAACCTGTATCAAAATATAAATAAATAAAATAGGTCGGAGAAAACTAAAACGAACTAAAAAAGGTGAATAAGACGATATAAGAATTCAATCGTGAGAATTGCCTCTTGCTAGAATAAATAAATTAAATTGGATACACTGAAGGAACAAGTTACAGGAAATTAACATTTCCGTGAGATCCGCTGGTATATTCTGAAAACATTCACGTTAGCTTAAACAGAAAATTCGGTGTCACGCATCTTTTCCATCAGCTTGTTTTTCAGAAGTGAACGAACTATTCTTCCTTTAAAATATTCAAAAGGAAGAGCCTAATTCAGATCAGAATTCTTCATGACGACTCATTTCTGCTCAGAGAAATCACATGTCGAACAATCAACTGATTTGTTTCAGAACTCGAATTGAAACGCGACATTTGTTTCAAGGGGAAAAAAATCTCTCAGCTAATTCCCAAAGCAGGCAGAACAAAGAAGCAGAAAAATATTGAGCTTGAGAAGTTTATAACAGGTCATCGGCTACGGTATATACACGTAGCTAACACTACTGGTTTGAACTCTCAACTCACGTACTTTTAAAAGTAAATTTAGTTTTATGTCTCGTGTTAGATTTTCGGAAAGATCCGAACAACTTTTCTGAATAAATTTTCCCCCAAAAATCCACGCGAAACACTCACACAAGTTGCTCAGGATATTCTAAATCACAACATCAAAACTTCATCGAGTTTACTCTGACGCCAGCTCAAACTCGAGATATCGTAAATCACCACTTCAACAGCACGATCGAAGCTAATGTAACGCCAAAATCACGTGTCGGCAATCCTTGCGGTGTGTCTGAGTTCGACTGAATCACTCTAAAGCCGATGAACGGCGACAGAGAGAGCAAGTTACCTGCGAAAATGGAAGAAGCAGCAATAACTGGAGAAAGCAGAAGGAAAGGTCAAAACGATTAAGGAGCTTCGGATTTTGTGAAGCTTTTTGTTGTTGAGTTGTTGCTTCCTTTTCGTTTGCCTCTGGATCTGGAAACAGATGACGCTGAGCTTCCGAGGCAGAGAGAGGGAGAACGGTCATAGCCATTTTTCTATGACCGGTAGCAATAATATTATAATAACTCGGTTAATTGACTTTTTTGAAGCGTGCACTCGTCGAACTCATTTATTTTGTGAATATACACACAGTTCCCATGCCGTCGTTGATTGGGTCGCAAAAGGCGCTTTATCCATTTTGCATTATTAAAGCTTTGCACACTTTCCCTCTATTTCTTTCCTGCTAAGAAATTTCCCCCTGCTAATGAATAATTATTGCCGAAATAAAATTTAAAAAAAACTAATTACGCTTTTTCTTCTTTTAATCTTGATTTAGTTGGTGAAATTCCACTTTTGATTTTCCAAGCAAGATTATTACGCAGAGCGCGCGAGCTTATCTTCCAGAGTCTTGGTCATCGAGACGAACTGTATCTGAACGTGCGAATCACGAAAGGCGAGAGTATGGACAGCTGTTTTTGATGAGCAAATGATTGAGTAGTATGATTAGGACGGAATCAAGCAAAGGATAGCGGAATATTGTGTTGAATTTTAAGTACGTAATAAGGGATTTAATATCATCTTGATAATGCTAGTTTTAACGCTACGTACAACAATATTCCCACTATACATAAACAAGTAATGGGATGGGGGGAAAATAACACTACTATTCTTTTTTATTGCAAAAAATAATACAATCCTTCTACGCAAAAATTTCCATCCAGAGAACACGGTATCGTATCAACGAAGACATGCAGAAATACGAAAATAATACAATGTAGCGAATCTGAGCTTACTTAGGGGCTATAACACTTTTGCTATAGGAGAATAAAAGGCATTATATTATCATAGAAAATACATGCCCTTTTTTTTTATAATCATCGTTAAGTAACAACTAAGTTTAATTTTTTTTTCAATTATTTGTTTACTGCAATAAAATTTCACTCGCATTGGTAGAGGAAGAGTACTACATAAGAATTTAAACTGTACTGAGAAAGAAAAATAATGCACTAAAACCACTAGTTAAAATATTGCTTAGCAAATTAGCGCATATTCTGAAGTGAGGTGAACCGTGAAGATCTCGAGCTTCCAGCCATCTAATCATTAAAAAAAAAAAAAAGATTTGTACGTATATAGAGAAATATATTGCTTACCATTGTTAGTCATACTTGCAAAAAATAATAAAAATATAATTCGAGTTGTGTCCAAGGACATTGTCTTTAAGAGTTATTCTGTCACAAAGGCTAGAATAAAAAGCAGCACTTCTCAGAATAAAATGAACCCTTCTTATGCAGAGTAAAGTGACAGAACAGTAAAAATTTAAAACTCAAGAAAAGAGAGAGAGGAAGAGAGCTCGGAGATAGAACTCGACACATACTGATCATGCACCACACATTGCCTTCTATAGGCAGATAGTATGTAACCATTGGACTGTCATAATAGTGATTAAGTATGGTTTTTTTTTTTTGATACGTCAGAAAACAAGGAAACTAGCTATTCTACGCCGAAGAGAAAATGTTAGACAGTGCATTCGGGCCCAGAATTTGGAGGCCAAAGCACCATTTAGGGCCTTCTTAGCAAGAGTATCTACATGGCCATAGTTCTTATGGTCCATATGTTGTATTTCCATGTGCCAGTCTCTGTTGATCATCTCTTTAATCTCAGTTATCAATGCCTAGTCTTGGTGCATGTCGTTGCTTTCTCCATAGATTAATTCTATTGCCTCTAGCAAGACCGTTCTCATGATTATCTCTCTGAAGTTTGCATCCCAGGCTCTCTTAAGACCCACCAAGCATCCCCCTAATTTCTGCTGCTAGGCTATCAGTAGCGTCTATTTTCATCATAAAGCCTTCCAGTGCTGTCATTCCTGTGCTTTTAATTACCCCTACATAAGCCGCGATGTTATGTCTGAAAGAGTACGCCCCATCAACCTCCACAGAAGTTTTGTCATCGGGAGGTATCTGGTTTTGCACTTTGTCACGCGTACCTTTAAGCTTGGTCGTTGCTGAAATCATGCTTCCCAAGATACTGCTAGCCTTTGAAACGATAGTGTCAAGCAAGATGGATGTTGCTAAATGGTAGCTTTCATTATGATTTCTCCAGATTAACCAGCATATAACAATGAATAATCCTTTCCAGTACTCACTGTTCTGTCCCACTTTCTCTGTCAAGTTCATATGTAACCACCCATGCATGCTCGTGTTGAAGAATCTGTTGCGGTAGGCTGGTTTTACAACTGTCTCCCAAAGGTTTCGGACTAGAGAGCAGTCTCAAACAGCATGTAGGTTGTCCTCCATCATCATGTTACACTTGTTGCAATTACTGTCCAAGTGTAAGCCATGTTTCCATTTAATTTTGTTGGTGAGTAATCTTTCATGAGCCATGAGCCAGCGAATGTTCTGCATCTCTGAGGGATTTTTAATTTCCAGATCTGGGACCAATGGCCATTAGGGGGAGCATTCTTGGTGTTTAGTGATCTGTAAGCTGATTTAATGGAGAAGTTACTGTGTTTCTCCCATCTCCATCAGACATGACTGTTTCCATCCTGGTCCTAGACTTGTTGTATGCCATCTTGTACATGTTGCCAAGTCTTTTTAATTCCTTGCCACGTGTTTGAGCCTTGCTTTCAGGTATTGATGGTTGGAATAGTGTTTGCACCGCAACCATATTTTCCCTGAAATTTTCTAGTTGCTAAGCCGCGACCGAATTATAAATTGATACTTCCCTGATGTGACTCGGTTGCGATGCAACGGTATGCCCAGGTATTTCCCGAGATCTGGGGTGGGAGTAAAACCCAAGTTCTCACTCAATTGTTCCACTCTTGTGTGATTGACATTTTTGGAGAAGAAGATTCTTGTTTTGCTTCTATTGATTTTCTATCCCGAAGCTTTGCAGAACTCTTCTAGGCAGCTCTTGATTGTCTCTACCTGGTTCATAGTTGCTTCTACAAAAATCAAAAGGTCATCAGCAAAAAATAGGTGAGAGATAGGGGGCTATTCTTACTCAGTTTTATGGGTCTCCATCTTCCTTCATCGACTTCCATCTGAATAAGGTGGGCAAGCTTTTCCATACAAATAACGAACAGGCAGGGAGAGATTAGATCTCCTTGTCTTAAGGCCCTTGAGGGGGAGAAAGTGTTAGCTTTGCTTCCTTCCCATAAGATTTGCATAGAGGGAGACGAGATACACTCGGCAATCACATTTTTAAGCATACTAGGCAGCTGAAGTGAATTAAGTATGGTTTTAATGACAATTAAAATGACAGTTTTTAAACATTTAATTAAAGTGAATTAAAAGTATTTAAACGCCACTAAATATGATTTATGAAAGAATAAAACCGATTAATTAAGACACATAAGTACTTCAACAGTCATCTCTAATAGTTAGTTCTAAAAACTCTTATTCTCAACCATTTTATTAACTCAAACTTACATTTTAATAAACACTAAAGTTTTCTCGAATAATATGGAACTTATACAGTAAAACTCTAACAACCTTTACTTAGGAGGTGTTTGGATAAAATCAAATCATGGGTTGGAGAATAGCTTCTGAAGAATAGATTCTGGGGAGAATAGATTTTATGAAAAAGTGATTCTGAGAAGTGAGAGTGTTTAGATAGTTGTTATCAGAAGCACTTTTTATATATACAAATTACTAAAAAAAACATAAGTTAATATGATAATTACATAAAAGATAGATTTTATGATATATTTTAATTTGAAGGAATAAAATTGTTAATAATATATTTTTTTATCAACATAATTAATAATACATAAGATAATATAATTAATAAATAATTAATATGTGTATATATATTTATAAGATATACGATTAAATATGTTTATAAAAAAATAATTGAAGAGTGTTAAAGTCATATTATTGTTGAGATCTACTCTCAGGCTCTCCCTTGTACTGTGTCTAAAACAATGAGAAAGAGATGAATAATTGGGAAGGGTACATCCGTCTGGGCCAAAAAAAATAACAAAGCACAGATCTCATAGGCTCTCTCTCCTTTTTTTTTCCAAAAGCAAAAAAATTTTGTTCTTACCAAGACCATAGTTTTTGGACCAAAACCATGGTTTTGGTTTTTTTTATGATGTTTGGGTGATTTTTCCCCAAGGTTTGGATCATCACCCAAACATCTCCTTAGACGCCTGTCAAACAGCTGCCTCGTGAATGAACACTTACTTGAAAAACAGAAAAAGACATTTTAACACGAGAAAAAGAAATATATATTCACAAAAGTAGTCAGCTGTTTTTCTTTTCTTTTTTAATATCATAATAACGCTAAGGAAACTCATAAAATAAATTCAATTAAAGCTACTTAATAATAAATTAAAATAAATAAATTGAATATTTAATTTTAATAAATATAAGATAATCTCTCCCAAAAAAAGAGGGTATAACCTTTTTTGTAAGGATAGTTCGCGCACGCTGGTAAAAAAAAAAAAAAAAAAGGATAGTTCGCGTACTTCACATTAGAGCCGGTAATATGGGTTGGACCCGCGGGTCGAACCCGCCAACCCGCCACCACCTGAAAAATATGAGCCCGCACCGCCATAACCCTAACCCGCGGGTTAACCCACTTTTTTTTTTAAAAAAAAAGATAACAAAGATAAAAGTAAAGCAAATTTTTACTTCAAACTTTATTGTCATTAGAAATAATTAGATAAATAAGGTTATTCAATATTGCTCATTGGTTTCATTGAAAAAAAGAATGTGTGAACTTGTGTATTATCATGTTGGAAAATTGGACAATCATATACTATTTGTATTTTATTGTGTTGTAATTTTTATTTGGATGTTTCTAATATTTATATCATTTTTAGTATTTTTATTTTG